GAAGTTGTGGTCGCATTGCACATGAGAGGAACACTGAACAGCAGTAAAATCACTAGAGAATGCATGTTTTTCACCATTTTTCTCTTTTCTTTTGCTCGCTCTAACTCCAAGCAGATGAACTTTGGTCAGCTTATTTATTGTTACGTTACTTCATATAATGTTTGCATATTGTTCACACAATGGCCGCCCTTATCTAAAAGAAGGGAAAGGTTTTTATATTTTTCCTACATCATATAAGGTCTATACTACCAATCATATAAGGTCTATACTACCATTCAACTGTTCAATTTTGATCAAAAGAGTTCCTCATCATTTGAACTTAGATATGATGTCTCAAAATATTTTATTTTTTAATTTTTTTATGTAAATTGTATAAATATGAAATTTGATACGTGCCGTAATATTCAAAATAATTTTTTGATAAAATAATCATTTTATTTTATTGAAAATATTTTTTAAATATTTTTAACTAGTATAAGTTTAATAGAGAATTGGACGTCCAAAATGTGATGTTAAAATAATTTATAAAAAAATTAAAATAAAATAATATAAAAATATGACATTGTGATTGATACATTCTAAACCTTTCATTAAAAAACAGATAGATAAAAATACATAAATTTTAATATGTAGAGGAAGCATACAAAGCTTGTCCGTAGAATACGACTCGCCCATGTGATTCCTCCCTTTTCTCTCTTCGATATTTTGCTCTCTTATTTTATTTTATTTTTTCTGCCTTGTGTCGGTGGATGGTCCATGGCCGTACTTTTGTGCTTTGTGTATTTGTCGTGTCTCATTAGTGAATTTGTGGTGCATATATATTTGGGTTCTATACTCTCGACAAGCGATAATGTCTACCGTAACAATATAACGTCTGCGATTATGTTAATTTGCAACTATAACAGGAATTTTTTTACCACGTGGCTAGCTCCATATGGAAAACAAAAAGGCCATGGTTTCCATGAGTTTGCGGACCTTAATAATTTATTTTTAAATAGAACGGTGACAAAACTGGGTCCCCTAGTCTCCGTCCCTACATAATATAAAGCATTGCCTATAAAGTACTCTTCTCAATTATTGCCCTATCTCATCAACCTTCCACACCTTGAGCAGCAGGATTATTAGAATCACACCGAAATGGCAGGGCATGAAAACCCGTAAGGTTAGATTTAATAATAATAATAATAACAATAGTTTTAAAATAATTTAGTATATAATTTTTTAGTTGTTTAAAAAACGGATCATTTCGGATCGGACACCCTAAAAACCTATCTAGATCGGTGAATCGACGGTTCTGATCGAAAATCGATCGGATTCAAAATAAAAAAATAAAAAAAAATATTAAAGTCCTTATAAATGTTAGCTTTTAAGAATCCAATAAAAAATGAAAGTACTACATTATTAACTTTCATTTTTTTCATAAATATGTGAATATTTAGATGTTCTTTTCCTGTATAAATTTATGTTAACCATTAAATTACATCACACAAATGAAGAATCATAGAATTATAATGGATAAAGTATCTTATAATATCATCTAATTTAAAATATATTATTGACAACTGTAAGAAAAAATAGTACGTTACATAAAAAATAAGAACAAATCTACAATGTCTTATAATATCATAGAATTCAATAAATCTTGATTACAACAATAAGAAGAAAAAAAAACATTACAAAATTTATAATATAAATAAATTAATAAATAAAATACAAGATTTGATTATCAATATATAATTATTAATTATAACAATATAATAAAAATAAAACCCCCTATAAATTTTAATATTATGAAATTAAGATATTTCAAAAAATATTATCCTAAAACTTGGAAAATAAAGATACTAAAATTCAAAGAAAAAAAAAAAGCAGCCTCTTGGTAACAGTAGCTACCAAAAAAACCAAAAACAAATGGTAACAAAACTTTGAGTGAGCTTTAAACCTATTTCAAACATTCAATATAAGTATAAATGATATATTTACAAGTGTATTTTTTTAGGCAATGATGATTAAGTTTCAAATTTTTAAATTATACCTTGTATATATGGTTTTTCAAAATTTAGCATTAAAAATAAATAAATGATAGAATGTTGTCACATTATATGTAACAATAATAATTTATTAAATAACATAGAAATTTAATGTATTAAATTATGTGATATTTTAATGCATTTATAACAATAAAAATTTCAATCTAACAATAACAATTTTAACATAATTATAGTTAGTTAACAATTTTGACATAATTACATTCATTCAACATAATAATATTAATGTCATTTTAATATGTTCATATTCACATAATTATAGTGACATAAGTTTCACATAATTATATTGAGTTATTAACATAAATAACAAAAATTTCATATAATTAGATTAATTCTTGTAAATTTATTATGTGTAATTTGTTTTTTGTATTTATGTATAATTCAAACTTAGTTATATGTAGTTTATTTTTGTAAATTATAAAAATAAAAATGAATATAATTAATTAAAAAATAATAACTTTTTTTTATTTTGTAGACCATTTATTTTATAGATGATAGTTTCCTTATATAAGAGAGAGCTATTAATGAAAATGTCTCCCTATTGCCAAGGCAAAAGAAATATCCTATATCGATAGATGGTGAGAAGATGTATGCTTCTATAACTCAGAAATGTACACCATTTAGTTGTTAATGTGACAAGCAGGAGGTTGACCTTGCATGAGCATTGTACGTGGCCACGTGGTTGGTCTTTTGTACCAACAATTTTCAAAGTCGGTGACGTGGTTGCTCTTTTGTACCATCAGTTTTCAAAATCGGTGATGTGGTTGGTCTTTTGTACCATCAGTTTGCAAAATCGGTGATGTGGTCTTTTGTACCATCAATTTTCAAAATCGATGACATGTCCGCTTTATGACGTCATCAGGGCGATTTCTTGACAATTGTACCATCAGTTTTCAAAATCGCTTTATGATGTCATCAAGGCGATTTCTTGACAATTGTACTATCAGTTTTCAAAATCGATGATGTGTCGCTTTATGACGTGGTCTTTTGTACCATCAGTTGTCAAAATGGGTGACATGTCCGCTTTATGACATCATCAAGGTGATTTCTTAACAATTGTACCATCAGTTTTCAAAATCAATGATGTGTCTGCTTTATGAGGTGGCCTTTTGTACCATCAGTTTTCAAAATCCGTGAGGTGTTTCTAGATAAAAACGATTGGATCCCGTTTTATTAGTAGATCAAGATTGTCCGCTTCTGAATCGAATTGGTGATTTTTTAAACATTGGTTTTTCTTCATTTAATATATTGATACTTTTTCATCTGTCCAATTGATTTGATGACCGGTTGAGCCTCTAATTGGATTGGTCCAATGCTTTTCCAATTTGGTGGCTAAGATAATATGATTTTGAACATCTTCGTGTTGTGCTATAATATAAGGGAAAATATGAAATGAGATCATTTATTTTTGGTACAAGGTGGTCACATTAATCTTGACTATTGGATGTGAAATTGGGTGGCTGCAATTATTCCATTAACTCCACTCAAACTTCAAAAGAAATTTTCTCAGTGACACATTCAAGATAAATGTTGTTATTGTATACAATGCCATAATATAATCCCATTTCTTACATTATGGCCATAATATAATCCCATTTCTTACATTATATCCATTTATAAAGGATAAGATCAAAATATTAGACGGATATGTAATAGAACATTTTTGGTTTGTTGGTTTTACATTGTGGCAGATATGCATGACGGATAAAGTGATAAAATCACCCTCGTACGCAAACCCCATATTGTGTGGGAGTTATACTAAAATTAATATTGAAGTTTCCTACTTCATACGTATTCCTCATATGTAAGGAATGAAAGGAAAATAATATGTATGAAATCCTAACATGCAAGAAATGAGAGGAAAAGAATGTGCTCCTGGTGGGTCACCACAGGGAAAAGATGATTTACTCTGAGCCCGATGCAACAATGCCCCATACAAACATCATCAGTATAATGGATTTCAATTTATATTGTATATAGATATCATACATCTAGGACGAACCACCTTGACATAATATGTTTACTTTAATGGTTTAAATTCTGTGTTTGTATCATGGTTTGTACTCGACAATTTGGTTTCTAGCCAATTAACTACAGGACCCTAGTGAGATCCCAATAATTGCAGGTTCATGTTTCCACATCAAATAAAAGAGGGTCCTTGATTCCTAGCAAGACAAAAATAAGTACAACATTTCAGAATTTCAATTGGAAAAGCATGCGCCATGCGTCAGAGTTGTGTTCAAACCGAGAAAAGGCTGATCTCTACCATTCATCAACCGTGCAAAAACATTGCTTCCCTTGGTTTACACGTAACAAGACTTTATTCCAACTTTAATGGAGCTTTTATCAGGGTTCAGGGATAATTGGGATTGGCCTTTTATGGCTTCTATTTGATATGGCTTCTCATATAATTCAGCCCCCCATCATCGCTACTCCAGGTTCAGGTTCAGGTTCAAAAGGAGGTATGACAGCTGTTTCCAGTGCTTTTAATATCCCCTAATTTTTTTTTTTTTGAAAATAATATTTCCTTCAATACTTGAACAGGCACTGTTTATAGAGCCACTGCATCGGCTACTTGTATGCCATCCGAACAGGAAAAGTAAGGTCTATCTAAATGGGTAAAAATACAAAAATAACGACAAAATGCATATATATCGATAACTACACTACACAACAGGAAGAACATAATATGATCCATATGGTTGTAGCAACAATCATGACATGGTTTATCACTATCCAATCAACTTGATGGAGAGGAAGTAGAAAAAGATAAATAATTAACTGAATTGTATTATAGGACCCAGTTTCCCGCATCACTATCCAACCCATTGATGGAATGGCGACAACCACATGCTCATGAAGCTATTATAACCATAAGAATTATATCAGACATGCCCTACATAAATAAGAGTAGAAAGTATGATGAGCATCACATTTACTGAAAAAAATATATACCAGGAAATGTCCATACTAACAAAGGGAATGTCCATACTAACACAACAAACCGCATTGCCAATTTTGTAATGAAATAAACGGGCCTGAGTTTGATATTCCATTATTTACTCCACCCAAGATGTTACAAGACAACACAAGGAAAAAGAGGTTTCACACATTTTGGAGCTTATTCTAAGTGGAAATCTGATTTTGCAACATTGGCTTATTATCTTATTTAAACACAAGGATATCGTTCTTAGACTTTGTCCCTCAAACCCATATGTCAGAAGTACAGTCTCCACCTGGGTATCTCATCTCATGAGCCAAACATGGCCCATCCGGTTCAGCTCCAAAGTCCACATAGAAGTTGGGATTTAAAGAAAGCCCACCTTTGTTGGTGTCCACATCGATCTGTAACATATGAGAGCCTCTCTCTACAAGTTCGGGATAGAACTGTCGATCCCATGTGCTAAAGAGCGAGTTTGTCACGTAGAGTCTCTTACCGTCCAAGCTCAACTGTATCATCTGTGGCCCTCCTCTCAGTTGGTTGCCCTGAAAGGTAAAGAAAGATCTCTTTACTCTATGGTTCTTTTTCCAATGGAGTTATAATTATGTAAAACCATGCTAATATCTAAGATTCTAAGAACTACATGAAAACCATGAAGAGTCCTTAGAGTCATCATTGCCCATTGAAATGATGGAGCAAGAATGGTGGCCACCACAGAATAGGGTGGCAATGAGCTAGGTGGCTGCGTCCGGCCCTAAAAATTAAGGACTGGGAAACAAATTGTGTCCTGAGGGCCTGGCCTAGGCCAGGGCCAATATGGGGCAGTTTGGCCTGTCCCAGCCCTGCCCTACCTGGGCCGGAGATCAGGGCCGGCCCTGGCATGGCCCTTTGCCAGCCCTAGTACAATACTACATGATGATCCCAATGGAGGATGCGTCCCACTCACACATAGTCAATGTGAATCATTTCAATGGCCGGTGACAACCCTAAATATGATTTCTTCGTATTGCTTAAAAACTGTAATTTACATAGCTAGAAAGTACAAATGAAAAGACTACAGCTCAGAAGGAGTCAAAAGGAATGTGGGATAGAGGACACAAACTTGAATAGCTGGGACATCGAATTGGAATTCGTTTCCATCTTCTGTCTCAGCAATGACCTGGCTACCGTTCTGAAGGAGGCCGCCCACCCAAACTTGTCCTGCCAATATAGGCTTTGATGGGTCTTTAATGTTATATTGCCTCACATCTCCATGCAACCAGTTTACAAAGTAAAGGAATCGATCATCCAAAGAGATGAGAAAATCAGTTATGAGCCCTGGCATTTCAGGGAGAATCCAGTTTTTGACCTTCAATGGCTTTACGGATATCACAACCTATAGGAACAATTGCGGCATTGTTGGGCTTAGTAAAAGCTCCTCTTTCTCTTTCCCTCTCTCTCCCTCTCTCTCTCTCACACACACACAAAATAAAAGAAAATACAAAAGAAGGGCTTAGCAAAGTTACCTCCATCTCTCTCTCTCTCTCTCTCTCAACTCACCACACACACACACACACACACACACACACACACACACACACACACACACACAACAAACAAAAGAGGGAGCAGTTTATGTTTACGAAGTGTACACAGTCATATATGTACATACCTCATGGCTCCATAAGCCATCTGGATTCTTATAAAATCTCACCATATTGCTGCTCAAAGCACATCCAACAAACCCAGTATCCTTCGAAGGATCATGGAGGAACCTAATCTGCCATGGATTGAATGATTCAAATTGATGTCAGAATCCCAATGCCTACTGATATTTTCTATTTATATTAGAATAAATCCCAGCGATATGTTCGAGTAGAACCTCCAATGGTAAAAGTCCTGAACTTCCTAGGTCCAATGTTTGCTTCAGTTCACCTTCAGGCCAGCTATACACATGCAAGTGTCTTCCATATAGACCATCCAAAACATGTTGAAGGTTGAAACCTTTTGAAAAAGCTGATGGAGCTCCCCATGAAGAACTTATCATTGTCTTGTGCTGTGGTTGATACCAGAAGTCATAGCCAAAAAGGGGACTGTGACCCGGTTTCTCCCACCTTAGAAAACAAGTGAGTGCTGTTTATAAACATATACTTATACATATCACAGAAGGGAATATATGAGTGGTATTTTAACAAAGCAAAAACAGCAATTACCAGTGAGAATACATGACTACTAATTGTCAGCTACACGAATTATGTTCCACCAATCCACCCTATCAAGGGCCATACACTCAGTCAGACCGTACGTCACCATATCTCTTCTCACTACTTCCATCCATGTCCTTTTAAGAATTCTCCTTGGAATTTTGGAGCCATCCACTTGAACCACACCGTCCATCCTCATCGATACTACAATTTTCAGGTAGATTTGTATGTGGCTTTACTTTTTTCCATAGGGCCTTATATGATATACTATCAGACCTTTTAGTTTTGAAACAAAGAGGTAACTGTCATTTTTAGCCATTGGATAAAATCGAATAGATTGAAGTGTGTCACAACATTCAAGAAAATTTGTTTTGGACTTTGTGCCCAATCAATGATATATCTTCAACCACCCGATTATGGAGTAACTTATCATTGTACTCAACGAATTTTGGACACTTCTATACCCTTGTTTTATACATGGAGCATTTTTTTAATTAGTGTATTTTTGGTCATTAGGAGGAGTGTGATGCCATTTACATGGGGTGTGACATCACCCTTTTGGAGTATACTAGTGACATTTAATGCTCCATATGGTTGATATCACATGCCATGTAGATGATGCCACACCCCTTCTAATGACCAACAATACCCTTACTAAAATACGCTCCATATACAAAACAAAGGTATATACGTCTCCAAATTTTGTTAAGTAAAATGATAAATTACTCCATAGTATGAGCACTTTAACATAACCGATATATATATAGAAGAAAAATTGATTCATGTGTCGGGGGATGCATTTCTATATTTGTATCCCCCGAGGTATAAAGCATCGATCTTAAAGATGGATGTAAATGGGTGGTCCATCTGAAAACAATTGAAACTAATAGTCCAAATGTTTTCTTCATAAAATTATTATTTTAAATCTTCAAAATTTATTTATTTTTTCACTCATGATCTCCATGTTAAAGATTACATGTCCTTAAAAAGTGGGTTCGAAAATCAATTTCAAAAGTTGATTTTAAGAGGGGAATCATTTCTACATGGACTCATAGAACCCATGTGTGTGAATTATATATGGGAAATGGTTATATAGAGCTGAGGCTCTAAACAATCAAATTAGGGCCTAGCTAAAAAATTTCACTAGAAGAGATTCTTTGATACTCAAATATCCTCAAATTGATTATCTCAACATCAAGATGCATGGACATGAGAAAAAATGGATTTCAAGTTTCAGAAATAGTGTATTTTGGAACGCATTTTTGGACCATCAATTTTCAAGATTTTCAAGTTTTCATAGATATGTCGACCTACATTATTTTTGAAGCTTTAAACTTTATAAACAAAGATGAAAAGATATTTTAAGGCTATCACAAATATTCTAGTAATGAAACCACATTTCTCGACACTATTTAAAGGTAGGCTGTAATTTGATCGTTTAGAGCCTAGGCTCTATACAAACTGCACACATGATATCTATATATATATATATATACATATATATATATATGTACATATATATATGTATATATATATATGTATATATATATATATATCGAAAATGCTGGGATTAGCCCACAAGCTCATACGAACATTTGAACCCAACGGCCCAGATTGAATCTGGGCCGATCTGATGGTCACGACCTCATTTCATGTTTGAATTTTAATTTTTTGTTCTACAAATCCAAATCACTTGAAATTTTAGGCATGTGTTCTTCTCATCAAGGAGCACCCAATAAAAATATAAAACAAATTATTCGCAAAAATAAAATGACCAAAATACCTCCGAAACTTTTCGAGGGTATTTTGGTCAATTTATTTCATGTAAAATATTTTTTCGATATTTTTTAAATATTCAAATATTTTTGATGAACACACTCCTAAAATTTCAAGTGATTTGGATTTGTAGAAAAAAAATTAAAATTCTAACACTACCGGACATCCGTGATTCAATTTGGGCCGTTGGGCTTATATGTTCATATGAGCTAGTGGGTTAATCCCAGCGTTTTCCTATATATATATATATATAGGCGAAATTCTACAGTGTTTCGCCTCCGTCAAGGGCTTGCTATGTCCGTTTGGCCTATGGACTTCCTATATATATATATAAGTCGACTTGGTAGTTTAGCATTTACTTGTAACAACTGAATTCTTTGTAATCGACAGCTGGAACTCTGTAAGATTGAATCTAGAAAATCTCTTCTTATGTAAAACTCATATATATGTAGAGGAATTGTAGTGCATTTTGTTCAATTCGTATTATCCAAAATGCTTTTTTGTTATATTTACGAAATGCGCCTTGTTGAGTTCTATACATGCCTAAACTTTCAAGTCAATTCAATTTATTGAATTTTTTTTAATTAAAATATGAAATATATTCTACATCGTCGGATCACAATCAAATGGTGGGGAGGCTAACCGAAATTACTGTTCTATATAGGTGCGACCTACAGTTAGCTTTTTCAAACACACACAGACACACACCCACCCACCCGCCCACACACGCATACATGAGCCTGTGCACACACATACCACACACATGTGCACACACACATATATATATGGATGGATGGATAGTGAGTGTGTGAGAGACAGAGTCAAGTCAGTCCTTCATAATGCATCATATATGACTTGTTGAAAGCTGTCCGATACCGCATCAATAGAAGCGTGACATACCTTCCTTTCACATTGAACTCAGTATCAAGTAGTAGAAACCCATTTCCTTTAGCATTTCCATCCTTGTCTCCAAGGCATGAGACCATGATATCACCCGATGCAAGACAGTGAGATGTGTGAGGATATGACAATCCAGTTTTCTCCACAATTTCTGAAGGCTCAACAGCTCTATGTAGAGAAGGTGCTCTTGGACTCTGTGTGTCAACTACATAAATACGGCCAGACCTGAAATAAACCATGAAATTTTGTGCATGGAGTAAAACCAATTTCCATACATATAGAGAGCCCAAAGAAGTAAAAAGCAATAGAAGCTAACAGTTCACAGGATGAAGCACATGAAATAAACAGATGCTCAAGATTAATAATTATAGGCTTCACTTGCATAAATAGTTTTGAAAATGCCAATGGACCAGTAGGAGTGGAAGGATCAATTTGTGCATGTGTGCGTGTTCCCTGGGGGGATTGGGTGTGGAGAGATCGGTAAAAGTTGCAATATCATTTCTATTTTAAGTAATCCTACAAGAAAACACCATACATGGGCAATGAAGGTCACTTACAACAGTGAAGGCAAAATCAGGAAACGCCTTTGGGCAGATGGATCCCCATAACATGAACTGCATGAGTTCCATCCAGTATGATGCAACTCATCTCCTAGATTACTCATGGACAACCTGTGAATAACCTTAGAGTAAGTAGGTGAGTTTGGATCAACATCGACTGTAGCAAGAAAATCAGGCTTCTCTCTTCCAGTTCCTGCATGACGAATAAGCAAGCATGAGAAGTTTCTCGGACATAATTTCCAGATATAAGCATCAGGTCACAATTGTTTCTCACTGGAGCCCATATTAGACAGCTCTAGAGTAAGGCTATAGGGGTAAATCACAGTATTTTGTAATTTGTCTTTCATCCCTTAAAACATCTCAAAGTTTTATAGTTGCCATTAGTAGCACTACAAACCTTGGGAAATTACAAGGAGGTAAATTCATCTACCTTGTCAACTCATCAATGCATAATGCATCAAGAATTCATGGGAAACATTGGCAATTCCAAATATGAGTGGCCTCCACAAATATTGTTCTAGAAATATAAGATGCGGATAGGTCATTCCAAAAGACATGGCAAGCAAACAGAAATTCAAACAAACCAAAAAAAATCTTAAACTGCTGGGTGATCCTCATAGTGTCCCTGTCATGTAGACCTAACACAGTGGGTTTAGAAAACTCTCTTAGGCAGGAAAAATTTGAGTAGGTTGTTTACTTTATGATTCCAGGTTCAAAGAAGTTAAACCATGGAATGAGGACATTTGACAAGTTTAGCATGCTATTTGTAATAAGGCGAAGCCCTGTTACGGTTTGAGACTGTGAAGACAATAGGGTAAAAACATACATGATCCTAGAGGGGAACTGATCGAAGTGAAACGTGCAGATAACAAGAACAATTGTTTTCTAGAAGAAAGAACAAAACACTTGGACGGAAGATGGAAGATGCATTCAGTTGGATATTGTGATGAATTTCAGGTGCAAATAGGTACCTGATACATAGCAATGAGTTTAAATGGGTATCCAGTGGACAGGGTGATGACATCTTAAAGTTCCTTGTCCATCAAAAAGGACTAAGCAGTTCCTTTTCTGATAGACAAACAGGCAACTAATGCAATTAAAAAATAGAGAAACAGTGGTGCACCTCACCCCCCATGGGGCTTTACAAAAAGGTGACCAACAGAGAAAGGTCAAGTTATCATTATCAGAAGGACACCCAAAAGAAGGATCCGGACCTGAGACATTTCATGGCCCCCTCAGATGACTATAAAATGCCTCGGTTAATAGTATTTCTAAAATAGCATTTCCTTTTCTGATAGACAAACCGGCAACTAATGCAATTAAAAAATAGAGAAACAGTGGTGCACCTCACCCCCATGGGACTTTACAAAAAAGTGACCAATAGAGAAAGGTCAAGTTATCACTATCACAAGGACACCCAAAAGAAGGATCCAGACCTGCGACATGTCATGGCCCCCTCAGATGACTATAAAATGCCTTGGTTAATAGTATTTCTAAAATATCATTCTTCTTATGTTTCATGCATTAATTGTCACGAATACCACTTTCAGTACGCAATTTGATTGGAAATTAGTAGCATTGCTGGCTCAAATGTGCTAAACATGGCCCCAAAAGGAACAAGAAGCACGCTTCTGTAATCTCCATGCAGGAGACTTATTTAGGCCATTAGATTAAACAGAGCTCACTGAAGATAATTATAAAGCTAAGTTTTAATACGTTCTGAATAGAAGACAATACTGTTAGCAATAAAACAGTTGAAAAAATATGATGCTCTGACTATTTACACAAGTATCATTGAGATAGGAAATGGATATTTAGTCCATTTGTAATCTAGAATGAATGCAAGCATTCCCAGCATGCTTTCTAAACAAAATATCCAAATTTTAGTGGATAGTTCATCTAATTTTGACAGGCTGCTAACATAGTAGGGACACTTTGTGACAAATAACAATCCATGCAGATTAGAGTGAAAAATCCAATTGAGTTTATGAACCACCGGACTACTAGGCATAGGTACCATCACCAATTATTCTGCATAATTCTACCAACATGTTGGAGCTGATCCTGGTCATGATCCTGGTCAGAAAGGATTGCAAAACATTTTCTATGGAGATGAATGGCATAACATTTTGACTGATACGGGTGATGAGATAAGACTGAGAAGGTGAGATACAAACCCCCAAACAAAGGTGTTCTGAATTTGCCCTATCAATTCATCAAAGTCCCAAAGCATTTAGAGAAGAAAACAGCCTGCCTTTCATAAAGAAAGACAGCTTTTCCAAAATGTTCTTCGATGACTAGTTCCCAATTATTCCAAAATATAGTAATTCGAATACAGTGAACCATGATAAGAGAAGAATTGTGAACTCTGATTACTGCCAGCTAGCTTTCGGGCACAGAGAATAAAGCAACAAACACAACAGCAAACTACATCAACTGAAACAGACAAAAATTTCAATCAGTTTACCTCACCCCTACCTGTCACCATATTATGTAAGCACAAATTCTTTAACAAAAACAGGTCTATGGGTACCATAAATCTATATGGACACCAGATGGATTGTGAGATGGAAGAAAGTTGACCAAGAATTTTGTGTTTATAATTCTGCACTCATCCTTTGGAAGAGAAGAACTAGATTAATGAAACGTGCAATTTGAAGTTTCCAAGATCAAAGTGGAGGTGGAATATATTGATACAGCATTTTACTTCAAGTACAATTGTAAATTACGATACATCCCTTACTTACCTTGGATCCAACTATCTTGTGATAATATAAGTTTCTTAAAATAGCTACTTCTACATCTTTCATAAGCAGAACAAGCAGGCTGATGTGAACTGTCACTTCATTTAAGAGAATTTCCAATCAGGCATGCAACCTCATCAAACTTACAGTTGGTAGATAACCAAGTTATTCAACAGGAGTATTTGACTTTTAAGCTTCATAAGTCCTTTGATGCCTAATATCGAATTGGAGGAGAATGTTAATAATGAGCAAACACTTAAGATAATACAAATCCTAATCATTTGACTCATCTTTCTCATTCCTTCATAAATTTGTGTATTGGCAGAGGATTTCATTCACTATTTTGTTTCACTTGGAATTGTCTTCACAGTAAAGTAACATCATGCACACTTAGATGCATAAGTGATAGTTACATAAATTAATTTATTTAACAAAGAAAAATATTCTTCATTATGACATGCACAAATACTATAAACTCTCAAGTACATGAAAGCCTAGCTCGTCATCTGGGTCATCATACCGTCTCCGGGAAAGTATCAGGGATGAATTACATTGTAATTTCCAATCGTTAGCTCCTATGAGGGATATCTTACAAACAAAAGAAAAATTATTGTCTTATGTCTTAAATAGTACATATATATGGAGAGAGAGAGAGAGAGAGAGAGAGAGAGAGTAGTTATTGTACGTACGTTAACGGGTCATCTACGTAACGTTA